CAGTTGAGTTCCATGTAACAGATATATACTTGCCCAGCATAGTTGTCAAACAAAATTTGTGACGTTCAGCAAGGGTTGCCAACCGGAGCTATAGTGAGGAGCTCATTGTCAAACGGAAACTTGACTATCAGCAGAGATCCCCACATAGCAGTCGTAGGATGGGTATATACCTGGAGGAGTGCCCAGCATACTTGTTGAACAGAAACTCAACGTTAGCAAGGGTCACCATACCGGAGCTATAGCAGGGAGGTCCTATCAGCAGAAATCCCCACATAGCAGTCATAGGCTTCCTCAAGGTCCACATAGAAATAACAGTTACAGAAAACTCCCCCCATAATGGTAGAAGGTCCCATAGAAAAGGTTTCAGTGTGAAGGGGACAGTGACAGGAGCATAGCTCAGAATGCAGGAATTGACCTGAGCACCAGATAGGGCATTGGAAAGAGGTCCAGAAGCACTTCCTGACGCTCCCAGAATGTCCCAAATGAAAGCAGAAGTGAAGGAGTGGTGGTACCTGCCCTTCTCACAGTACTGGCTGACAATGAGGAGGACACCACTCCGGAACAAAGGAGCTCCATGGGACGGTCAAAGGGGCATTGAAAAGGTAGAGAGCAGAGCTTCCAGACGGTCCAAGAACGTCCTATATGCGAGCAGAGCTGAAGGAGTTATCATACCTCCTCTCCTCGTAGTACTGGCTGACAGTGAGGGGGACATTCCTCTGGGACAGGGGATCTCCATAGAGCAATCAAGGCAACGTTAGGAAGCTATGAAATAGAGCTTCCAAACGCCCTGAACACGTCCCAAATGCGAGGAGAATCAAAGAAGTTATGATACCTCCTCTCCTCGTAGTACTGGCTGACAGTGAGGAGAACATTCCTCTGGGACAGGGGATCTCCATGAAGCGTTCAAGGCAACGTTAGGAAGCTATGATGTAGAGCTTCCAAACGCCCTGAACACGTCCCAAATGCGAGGAGAATCGAAGAAGTTATGATACCTCCTCTCCTCGTAGTACTGGCTGACAGTGAGGGGAACATTCCTCTGGGACAGGGGATCTCCATAGAGCGTTCAAGGCAACGTTAGGAAGCTGTGATGTAGAGCTTCCAAACGCCCTGAGCACGTCCCAAATGCGAGGAGAATCGAAGAAGTTATGATACCTCCTCTCCTCGTAGTACTGGCTGACAGTGAGGGGAACATTCCTCTGGAACGGAGGAGCTCCATAGGGCGGTCAGGGGAGCGTTCGAAAGCTGTGAAATAGAGCTTGAAACTGGCCCAAACACGTCTGAAACGCGAACGGAATTGGAGGAGATATGATAGTCCCACCCCCGAGGGGAGGTAAGTGAGATGGAGGGGAGCATATCTCTGGAACCCCAAGTCGGAATGGGACAGTCAAGGATGCGTTCTGGAGCCTGGAATTGAGGCTCTCGAATGGTAGGATTTGTTTCTGGAATGGAGAGATCAATCCAATGGAGGTAAATACCTCACCAGGCAAAAGTACCCCCTGGCCAAGCTACAACTCCGCCTTTCCTTTCACTCCTCTATCACCTTCCAGAAACCTCTAGCACCACTAGAAAGAGCTCCCTTTGAGCGTGTTATTATGTGAGGCCCCGGCACAGAAGGCCTGCTCTGGTCTTACCCAGACTGGGCCTAAGCGAATGCAGTAGCCGCCTAGGCCGTATGAGGAGGTATGGAATAGTGCCGATACTGGTGAGGGGAGCCTAACCAGGGGTAGTTGTGGAGCTTGGGTAGACCTAATAGAGGGTCCTGGAGGTGTAGAATGTAACGCGTAACCACCGCTTCGATGTGGAGGGGAGGTGTAGCCAATACAAGTGGGAAGCTGTGGGGAGCTTAGGGAGCAATGAAGCAGAATTGGGAACCTAATGGGAGGTTCCAAAGGATGAAGGACGAATTGTAGAGCCTCGACGTAGATGGTGAGTCGAAGTAGAGGCGTAGACAATACGATGACACGCCTAAATTTTGGCTAGACGTCTATACTGTGAATTGTGACATTTTCACGTATAGATTTGTATCAAGAGGACTGTAATTGAGACCCAGATTGACAGTCAAAGTCAATACTGAATCAGTCTAATAAGTTGAAGGGACCATATACCCATACTACCACAAGTTGGTTAGTTTACCCATCCCCGATACTACCTTCGGATAGCAGTCTACCTGTTTGTCAAGCAGGATTATACCAGACTCGGACTACATCCGAAGGATGACCATTCACGTATGACATACCAAGGGTATTCTTATTGGACCTTACACTGGCAGGAGTTTGGAAGAACTTACTCAAGTGACCATGAACCGAGGATTGACTCGAAATGACTTTCTAGAACTCAGGAATTATCAAATACTCCTTCTAGAACAAGATCATGCATTAATCTAAAGGACTGCGATTTAGTCTAATAGACCAATCAAGTTGCATGGTTGAGTAAAATGACTAGAAGAACGATCGAAAGACTGCGAGGCTCCGAAGACATATCAAATGAATGTCAAAGAGTCCTGACGTAGAAAACATTGAAGAATGCAATTAAATGAATACTATGCGTAACTCCCTTGATAGAGTATAGGCACAATGGGTGTCTGTTGAAAGAGAGAAGCAATTAGTTTAATCCAGATGAATCAGATTGATAGGATTAGAATCGAGGAGAGTTGATTTGCCTCCGGACGAGATGACAAACGATCGAAGTAAGTGTTGAACAGCAATGACAGTTGAATACTACTCGAGTCATTCTCTAAAAACAATTAAATTAAATGAATATTGAAGTACCTACCCATGTTTGGAGGTATACTAGAATCTTGGAACCAATATGGACTAAATAAGGACATGTAGATTCAAATTAAATGGTATCTGACTGAGTGTAGAAGTTTCCTTGCGGTTCCGAACGTTTATTGTTTTAAATTAATTGTACTATGCGACTCTATATTCTGTATGTATAAATAGCGATCCGATGTATCTGGAATACAAGTGATTTTGGGACGACGTTGCAGTGCTAATCCGTAAAAAGGAAAGACACACTCCCGCCAGACTGAAACCTCTTCGCTAGCAGCCATTCGGGCCCGGCACTTGTGAGTATAGGAACGTCGTGTTCTGCTCCTTGTGACTGCGAGAAGTATATCCAGTTGTTGGGTATTCTTTGAACTTAGGATCAGTCGTTGGTCTTAAGGGCAAATCACGCTGTGTGGTTGTGCCAGCACATAGTTCTAGCCCTCTGCAGGGGTCTGTGTGTTTCGGTTTTAATTTACTTTGATTCAAACCCCCAATTCTTGATATACCCAAATCAATACAAACCAAAGCACAAATCGTGCTGAATCTACCTTGATCAAAGGAATATATCGAATCCTTAGAACGATTCAAATTGATTAATCAAAGCTTCGTACTTAGCTCTCAAAGCTTTGCGGAACCTTTGCCAACGCTACCCCTTGCTATTAAATAAATTTGATAGCAGTGAACTCGCATATTGTGTATTAGATTGGTTGGTTGGAGTGCCCATTAGATTCCTTCCTTTCTCTTTCACACAAAAACGAGGCAAGCTCGTTAACGAGGATTGACAGAAAGAGGCCAGAGATAGGAAACAGAGAGGAGAAACAGAGTTGAGGTGAGACAGAGATAAAGGAAACAGATAATGAGGAAATATATGACTGTTGAGACGTGTCAGGCCCTGTTAGCAAGTACTAGTAGACTGTACTAAAGGGACCAAGCCAGGTAGGAAGAGATTCCAGGTAAGATTTGACAATAACACGCTGGGGAGCTCCGAGGGGAGTCCCCAGCCTATATACTGTACATGAGGCTGTCAGGTACGTATGTCATGTGGCTACTGGAGTGACAGGTAATATGTACAGTAAAGATTGTAAGGATGGTGCATAGAATATCGGAAACATGTATAAGTGATGAACCGGAGCTCTGGAAAGGAAAGGGAAAGGTCCGGAGAAGCAAGGCATGACAGTACCCCCCCCTCTAAAACCTGAGCCCGCGAAGGTAGAAAATGGTCACAAAGTTTAAATAAATCATGGAGATAAAGTTGAAGGTACCATAGGAAAGGTTTTGGTGTGAGGGGGACAGTGACAGGAGGATAGCTCAGAATGCAGGCATTGACCTAAACACCAGATAGGGCATTGGAAAGAGGTTCAGAAGCACTTCCTGACGCCCCCAGAACATCCCAAATGCAAGCAAAAGTGAAGGAGTAGTGGTACCTGCCCTTCTCATAGTACTGGCTGACAATGAGGAGGACACCACTCCTGAACAAAGGAGCTCCATGGGGCGATCGAGGGGGCATTGAGAAGGTAGAGAGCAGAGCTTCCAGACAGTCCAAGAATATCCCCAATGCGAGCAGAGCTGAAGGAGTTATTATACCTCCTCTCCTCATGGTACTGACTGACAGTGAGGGGGTGTTACTCTCGAACGAAAGAGTTCTATGGAGCAGCTAGAGAGGCATCAGAAAGCTGCGGAATAGGGCTTCCAAATGGTCCAAACACGTCCTGGACACGAGGAGAACTGAAGGAGTTATGGCACCTCCTCCCCTTGTAGTACTGGCTGACAGTGCGGGGAACATTCCTCTGGGACAGGGGATCTCCATAGAGCGTTCAAGGCAGCGTTAGGAAGCTATGAAATAGAGCTTCCGAACGCCCTGAACACGTCCCAAATGCGAGGAGAATCGAAGAAGTTATGGTACCTCCTCTCCTCGTAGTACTGGCTGACAGTGAGGGGAACATTCCTCTGGGACAGGGGATCTCCATAGAGCGTTCAAGGCAACGTTAGGAAGCTATGAAATAGAGCTTCCGAACGCCCTGAACACGTCCCAAATGCGAGGAGAATCGAAGAAGTTATGGTACCTCCTCTCCTCGTAGTACTGGCTGACAGTGAGGGGAACATTCCTCTGGGACAGGGGATCTCCATAGAGCGTTCAAGGCAGCGTTAGGAAGCTATGAAATAGAGCTTCCGAACGCCCTGAACACGTCCCAAATGCGAGAAGAATCGAAGAAGTTATGGTACCTCCTCTCCTCGTAGTACTGGCTGACAGTGAGGGGAACATTCCTCTGGGACAGGGGAGCTCCATAAGGCGGTCATAGAAGCATTTGGAAACTGTGGAATAGGGCTTTAAAATGGTCCAAACGCATCCGAAATGCGAACAGAACTGAAGGAGTTATAGTACCTCCTCTCTTCAATGTACCTGCAATCACTGGATAGACTACATCTCTGGAACGAGACCACATGTTGGCACAGTTGCTGGGGCGTTTGGAAGGTATGACAAGGAGCTTTTCAGTGGTCCAAACACGTCCGAAACGCGAATAGAAGCGAAGGAGTTATAATACCTCCTCTCTTCGATGTACCTGCAATCACTGAATGGACTACATCTCCGGAACGAGGACACACATTGGCACAGGTGTTGGGGCGTTTGGAAGGTAAGATGGGAAGCTTTCCAGCGGTCCAAGCACGTCCCAAATGCGAACAGAAGCGAAAAAGTTATGATACATATAATGGGAAGAGGCAATCAAAATCATCATTAAGTTAAATTGTACCTTAGGGAAGAAAGGAGCTTCTTCTGCTCCTAATCCTCCAGCTCTGGGGCATCATCAGAGCTGCTCTGGTGAGAAGGTGCTATCCAGGGGGGTTTCTGACGAGGAGGAGGGTCCAAAAGTGCGATCCTGGACACCTGGGAATGTGCAAAGACATAGCCCTGATGGAAAGGAGCTATCCAGGGAGGTTTTCGACGAGGAGGAGGGTCTGAAAGCCTGATTCTGGATACCTGGAGACATACAGGGATGTTCTTATGAACTGTCTGCAGGGCAGGAATGCACCACTGTACAGTCCCAGGTTCCTGTGACATTGTGGATAGATCCTGGGCCTGGGTGGGTCTTTTAGGCATAGCTCTTGGTCCAGCTGGATGCTTCAGAGGTGCTCCAGGGGATATCAAAACTGGTTGAAAGCTCCTCCCATAAAATGAGAGTCTAGCAAGCTGACCAGTATGCTCTGGGGACACTGAGGGAGGTGTTCCAGATGTCCATAGCAGTGGGCCAATACTTCGAGGCCCTTCCTGACGAATGGCAAATCGGTCCCAGTGAAGCTTCGTGAAGAATGGGGAGGTGGAAGGGATGAAATTGGGTTTGGGGAGGTATGTGGGAATCATGGAGGCGAGGCAAGTGGTGTGCATGGACCTACTCAACAACTGGACTGGAGAGAACTCCCTTTGAGCGTGTTATTATGTGAGGCCTGGCACAAAAGGCCTGCTCTTGTCCTATCTGGACTGGGCCTAAGCAAGCAGGACAGCTGCCTAGGCCATACAAGGGGAGGTGGGATAAGTGCCGCTACTGGTGTAGGGAGCCTGACCAGTGGTGGTTGCGGAGCTTGGGTGGACCTAGCCAAAGGTCCTGGAGTGGGGGAAGGAGGTGTAGTTGGTGAGGATGGAGGTGGTTGGGAGTGTGGAGCCTCGACGTAGACTGTAAGTCGTAGGAGAGGCTCAGGAAGTTGAGAGAGGTGTTCAGAGAGGTGAGACAGAGAAGAGAAACAGAGTTGAGTAAAACAGAGGTGAAGGAAACAGAGTTGAGGGAAACAGATAAAGAGGAAATGTATGACAGGTGAGACGTGTCAGGCCCTGTTAGCAAGTACAAGTAGACTGTACTAACAGGGACCAAGCCAGGTTGGAAGAGTTTCCAGATAAGATTTGACAATAACACGCTGGGGAGCTCCGAGGGGAGTCCCCAGCCTAAATACTATACATGTGACAGCCATGTGGCATATTACATAATGGTAAAAGCGGACAAGGGGAGCTCTGGGTATACAGTGGGGAGATATAGGAAGGTAGTAAGGAGGAATATGATAGGTAAGGAAGCAAAATCAGGCAAGGCATGACAGCCGCATGTTTGCTCTAGAAACGGCTCTTCCTTATCATGGCGCTGGTAATTGGGAGGACCTCGTCCCCACAGTTCCTAGTTTGGATACTCTTATGCAGGAGTGGGAAGCAATGATGTCGAGTTATATTCGTTTCGTGACAGAGCCTCCCTCACCCCAGAGAGATCCTCAAGGAGAAGATAGTGCTCATCACGAGGAGGTCTCCGCCTTGCAGGAGAGGGAGGGTGGAGGTCAGAAAAAAGGTAGTGTTCGTCCCGAGGAGGTTTCCACTTTGCAGGAGGGAGAGGGTGGAGTTACTGCCGCCATTCCTTTATTCCTCCCTGAACCTCTCTCCCCTACCCCCGTTGCTTCAGCTGCTTCCCCTCCTTCCCTTCCTCCCCGCTTCGGCTCTGTAGCAAATCTGGTCATCGATATGACGGCGGACGAGGACGATGATGACCTTTATGAGTCTCCGGGTTCTTTCGAGCGTCGCAGCCATTCGGAGGGTAACCCGGGTGAGGATGATCCTATGGAAGATGGACCAGTAGTTCATTGAAAGGAGAGCGTTCTGTAGCCTCGTAGATCGTCGCGTACTTGTACTCTTATTCCTGTCCCATAGATTTTCTTTTTACTTCTTGTTCTTCTCTATAATTTTGTTAATCAAAGGAAACGTTTTTCGTACTGTGTGGAAATCAATAAGAGTAAAATCGTGGTGCATCCAGGTTGCATGAACCCTCCGATGCACGCTATCGTTAGTTAGTCGTGAATATCATGGGGTTGTCACCCCCGTTGGTTCTTCGTTATCCTCATTCAAACCCCGTGCTCCCTGCTACCCTTTCCGTCCTCCTCCTCATCTTCCCTTGCCTCCTGCTCCAGCGAAGTCCATTGCAGACGCGATGGCTGGCGTTTCCTTGGATGCTGTTGATGCCAATTTCGTAGGAGCTCAATCGAGCCCCCCATACCTCCCCATCCTACCCAGGAGTTGAAGTCGTCGCTGTACCCCTCCCATTTTACCAGGTATTCTACCTCCCCTGGTCGTCCCCTTATTGGTTTTGAGTCTAGGATGCTTTCGACGAAATGTTCCGCCTTCCCTTTTATAAAGACTGGGGGAGGGGGGGAGTTCTGTCGTCTGAACTTATCGTGGAAGTGATGCTTCAACCTGTCGACATGGAACACATTATGAATCTTGTGGAGGTCCCCAGGGAGGTCCAGTCGGTAGGCATGACTTCCTACTTTCGACAAGATCATATAGGGACCTGTCCACTTGTGGTCTAGCTTCTTCATAGGTCGTCTAGTCCTGACGTTCTCCATGTTTAGCCAGACTTGATCACCCTCCTTCCAGTCCGGGGCCTCCTGGCGTTTTTGGTTCGCGTACTTCGCATAGGCCTTGTTAGCTACCCCAATTCGTTCCTGGAGGTACGCATGTAGCTCCTTGAGGTTGGACGCGTACTCATTGACCTCCGCTCCCTGCACCTGTTCCAGCGTAATGGACAACTTTGGATGATAACCCTTGTTGGCGAAGAATGGTGAGACACCTGTAGTCGTGTTTGGGGTATTGTTGTATGCGAGTTCGGCCATTGGTAGGAGGAGGTCCCAGTCGTCTTGGTCGTAGGAGCAATAGATTCGGAGGTACGCTTCCACGGATTGGTTCACTCGTTCTGTTTGTCCATCTGTCTGTGGGTGATACGCAGTGGATAGTCGGGACTCGATTCCTAATGCTCTACAGAGCTCCCTCCAGAATTGGGACACAAAGAGGGAGCCCCGGTCTGAAGTTATGTCAGAGGGCATCCCATGCTTTGAGAAGACGTATGTGATGAATAGATTGGCAAAGTCCTCCGCCTTATCCGTCGTATGACAAGGAACATATATGGCTTGTTTGGTGAGTCGGCAGACTACTACGAGGATGGCGTCGTATTTCTCTGGTCCCGCAGTGGCTGGGAGCTGGGTGATGTGATCTAGGGAGATTGAGGACCAAGGTCGTTGACCAATTGGTAACGGGCGGAGGTTCCCGTAAGGTTTGGAGCGACTGGCTTTGGCTCTCAGACACAAGTGGCAGCTCCGCACGTAGTAGTTCACGTCTTTGGACAGTCCTTTCCAGAAAAACAGCTAGTTTACGAGCTTCTTGGTGCGTTTCTCCCCCGGATGTCCCCTTAGTTTATGGTCGTGGTACGACTGTAGGATCTCCCTTCGTAGGGTCCCAACGTCTGGGACGTATATATGACCTCCCCTCTTTATCAGCCCATCCTCCCAAACAAAAGATTCCTCCTCGTTGCGTGCGATCCTTTTTAGTGCTTCAATTATAGTCGTGTCCTTTGGAGCTTCCCTTACTCGATTCACTAGGAGGTCCTCGTTCATAAGGATGGTAGCGTTCAGTTGTTCTGGAGGTATGAGTACCCGTTCCCTCCCTGCTAAGACCTGGTCCCTTGAAGCTCCCCTCTTTGGGTACACGTCTGATCTGCGGGTGAGCGCGTCCGGCTTGGCTCCCAACCTCCCTGGACGATAGTTGATGACAAAATCGTATCCTGAAAGGAGCTCTGCCCACCGGGCTTGTCGTGCTGTTAACTGCTTCGTAGTGGTGAAGTACTGGAGATTGTTATGGTCTGAGTATACTTGGATCTGATGTCGGGATCCTTCGCAGTATGCCCTCCATTGTTTGAAGCAGTCCACGATAGCTAGAAGCTCCTTATCGTATATGTCGTAGTTTAGTTCTGCGGAGATCATTGATCGTGCATGGAAGGCGATAGGATGTATCTCCCCCATTTCGGGATCCAGCTGTGATAGGATCCCTGCTATAGCCAAGTCGGAGGCATCGCATTCGAGGACTACCGGTAGGTCCGGATTGTAATGTCCCAGAACCGGGGCTTCGGAGAATGCTGACTTCAGAAGTTCGAAGGCACTACTACACTGTGGTGTCCAGTTCCACACTGAATCGTTTCGTAGGAGCTTCGTGAACACCTTGGTGATCCCCAAGTAGTTGTCTATGAACCTCCTATAGAAGTTTGCGAGACCGAGGAACGCCTGGAGTTCCTTCACCGTCCTTGGTTTTGGCCAGTCCATTACTGCCTTCACTTTCTCTGGGTCCATGGACACTCCCAATGGTGATATGATCACCCCCAAGTACTCGACGGTGTCGACATGGAACGCGCATTTTTCCGGCTTTGCATGGAGGTGGTTCGCCCGTAGTCATTCAAGGACCTTCCTGACGTGTCCGACATGGGATGCTTCATCGTCTGAGTAGATCAGAATGTCGTCCAAGTAAATTACCACGCAAACGTCCACCATGTCGTGAAAGATCTCGTTCATGAAGAATTGAAATGCGGAGGGAGCATTCGTGAGCCCAAAGGGCATTACCAAGTATTTGAAGGACCCATACCGAGTTCGGAATGCAGTCTTCCACTCGTGTCCCTGGGCTACCCTGACGTTGTTGTATCCTGCGCGGAGGTCGATCTTTGTGAAGATCTTCGCCTTCCGTAGTTGATCCACTAAGGTTCCTATCAGGGGTAGAGGGTACCTATTCTTCTTCGTAATCTTGTTCAGAGCTCGATAGTCCACGCAGAGTCGCAGGGTACCATCCTTTTTCTTGGCAAACAGGACAGGAGCTCCCGCAGGGGAGCTGGAGGATCGTATGAACCCCTTGCCTAACATCTCATCGATGTACTCCTTGAGGGATTTCAGCTCCTTCTCGGACATGTTGTAGAGCTTCCCTATGGGAGGTATCGCATCCCCTTCTGTCTCGATTTTGATATCGTAGGGTCGGTGAGGAGGTAGCATTCTTGCTTCTCCAGGTGAGAACACGTCCAGGTAGTCCTGGTATTGGACGGGAATGGATTTCTTTAACTCCTCCGTCTCCTGACGCTTCGACTCTTCTTTGTCGAGCTCCTTGACGACCCCTCCTTGTTCTGAACTAGGGTCCCCACTCTCAGGATCCTTTGGTTGCTGCACTCCCTCTGTGGCGCTGCTATCACTTGCCCGGAGCATTTCTTCAGTAGGGGACTCCTCCTTCGTCGGCGATATATGAAGGAAGTACGCTGGGGTTCCCTCCCTCAGTAGACGATCCATCCCAGCAGCTCCTATTAAGCTGATGGGTTTCCCTTGTATGGTTGGGTCCGATTTTCGTTCCACCACATGGGTACCCGCTATGAGCTGCTTTCTCCGGAAGTTGTTGCGTCGTATTGAACCCTTGGGAGTCAGACCAGACCTTGAAGGAATCTTGGGTATGTTCAGGCTTTCGATGTCTAAGGTGGGGAGGTCGGGATAAGGTCCATGTTCCCTCCTTTTCTTCCTCCACCGGACTTTTTGCTTAGCTCCTGGCCAGGAGGAGGATCGTTCCGTGTCCCTACTCTTCCACTTTTGATAGGCCTCCTCTGAGTCCTTTGCTGGGTTCGGGGTTACTTTCTCCATGGTGGATCGTCCAGCCTCGAGGATTTCCTCCACCTCTTCTTCCGTGCTTTCGTTCGCGAACGCTAACCATTCGTTGATTCCCATAAGGATTGGGTCGTCTGGCCCTAGATCTTTGTCCAAGGGGAATAACTTGTGTGGACCTGGTTGACTCGCTTCGTACTCTTCGTCCTTTACTTCCTCTAGTTTCACCCTCGTCTTTGGAGCTCT